GCGGAGTATCTGGGGAGCTGGAAGATGAGAACTGGCGACTTTGTAGTGCAATTATAGTACGGGGAGTACCTGGGGAGCTGGAAGATGAGAACTGCTGACTTGGTAGTACAACTTTAGTACGCGGAGTATCTGGGGAGCTGGAAGATGAGAACTGGCGACTTTGTAGTACAACTTTAGTAGGCGGAGTAGCTGGGGAGCTGGAAGATGAGAACTGGCGACTTGGTAGTACAACTTTAGTATGCGGAGTATCTGGGGAGCTGGAAGATGAGAACTGGCGACTTGGCAGTACAACTTGAGTACGCGGAGTATCTGGGGACCTGGAAGATGAGAACTGGCGACTTGGTAGTACCACTCTAGCGCGCGGAGTATCTGGGGAGCTGGAAGATGAGAACTGGCGACTTGGTAGTACAACTCCAGTACGGAGGTGACTTGCGAGAGGTCAAGAACTTGCAGAAAAAAGGCGTTCCTGCGCTTCAGAAAGACATACAGAGAGAGACAAATACACACGCAGACATAGATACACACACACGCATGACCCACACACTGCCTCAACACACTCGACTTAACACTTCACACTGAACACTTAACACATAACTCACACTCTAACTTCACACGTGATGAAAAATACTTTCGGGCCACTCGTCGTCTAGTTCTTCTTTGCACTCTCCCTCCAGCCTCTTCAACTCCTCCAAGCCACTGGCGCCCTTCAGGTTGTCTACCCACGCTGGATCGTCCGGCCTCCTCAATCTCACAACCTTCAGTGTGTTGGGGCACGTCAGGGAGCAGACGTGAAGACGAACCAGGGCCCCTGGATGGCTCGTGGACCACCGAAGTTGACCTTCATCCTCGGTTCCCGTCAACCGACCTCGGATCTCCATGAGAGAGCCGCATTTCCTCCACCTGCAAGGCCGTAGAGCCCTCTGCCAACTAACTTCAACCATTCTGCCATTCGCCAATCGCAAGGTCACCCGCACGGAGTTCCTCACCTGCTGAAAAATCAGGTTCGGCTGGACCACCAGCAGCTGGGCGTCGTCGTCTCACACTCCGACGGTCCTCAACCTCAGACGGCTCTGCGGTGGTCTAGGTGACATCAATGATCCTTCCTTTCCCTCCGTGCCTCCTTGACCTTCCTCAGATAACTTTGAAGATGGGTTGCCTCTCCCTCTTCTTCGCCCCCTTGTTGCGGCCCTCAAAGGGTGATGGGCGGCGGTCGTACAAGGCCGGATTGCGATGGCCTGCAGCGATCCAACGTGGAGGAAGCTGCGATGGAGACTTGGGTCTCCTGGGGCCCTCCCCTGACACAGGTGGAACTGGTGGCGGTGTAGGAAGTCGCAAGCCACTGGCTTGACTTGGACGGGCTCGGACTGGGCTCCTGCTATGGCTTTTCTTCTCTCGCCTCCTTTGTGAAGATCTACGCCTCCTCGATCTCGACCGACTAGACCTTCTCCTCCTTCTCTCTCTCTTCGGACGAGGAGATTCTGATATCTCCCTCACGCCGTGCTCCTCCTCAGGGTCTTGTTCACTCTTGTTCTCTTCCTCCTCACGCTTCACTGAGACCTCAGCCGGTGTCTCCTCAACTGCTCGTCCTGTTCGGGGTTGTGCCAAATTCTTGGGCGCCAACGTTCGAGCTGCCTCCTGCTCGCTTACCTCTCTCTTCTGACCTGAACTGCCTTGCCTGACCTCTCTGACCTCTTCACTCCCTGCTTGACGATGTGCTTCTTGTTCAGGATCTCGAAACACACCACCCTGATTGTCCTCTCCAACCTCACGCTGTCTGCCAACCTCCGGCTGAGGAGGGGGTGCCGGCCCCTCCCGTCCAGCCAATGCAGGGTGCCCTGCGACCCAGTCCTCAATCTCTCCGGTCAAATTCCTCAATCTCAAAGTCGAAAAGATTCGGCAACCAAGCGATGCAACCGTCTCAGGGTACTGCAGGTACCACACGAGCACTCAGCTCGATGGCCCCACATACGTTGAGCCGGAGCTTGAGCCAAATTACAAGGTTTCGCGTTTGTTCGTCTTTACTTACGAGGCCGAAAGTCCATATATTATACATATATATAAGTTATCAATGAATTGGATTGCATCCACTGCACAGCCTTGGCGGGCGGGGGAGGCGGTGGTGCTGCAGGTATACCTTCTGCACAAATCAAAACATTAAATTGAAAAGCGTTTATGCGTATAATGAAACAATGAAAACAGAAACCCGCCAGGAAAAGACCCAAGTGTATCCCTCCAGATTTGGTCATCACTGTGTTCAGCTGTGAAACTCCAGGCCTTCCTCGTCTTCCTCTTCTTCGATTGTCAACTTTTGTACGTTCGACAACAGCGCAGCAGCCTGAGATTGTGAAACATCCAGAACAAAGCGCAGCAAAACACGCGGAACACATCCAAAAAACATGTTGCTTGCGTTGTTTACATTCTTCTTACCTCTCTCCATGAGTGCACTGAGACAAGTGGCTGCTGACTTGCGGTCGGCCGCAGCTTTCTCAGCCGCGGCTTTGTCTGCTGCGGCTTTCTCTGCTTTAGCTTTGGCCGCCGCCAACAACTTTTCTCTGAGATGTTCGCTCGGTTCTGGTTTTTGTGTCCTGGCCACGTCTTTTGGATTGGTGGAGTTTGGAGGAAGCAAATAGTAGTAAACTACTAAACAAATGCATTCCGGGCACCCCTAAATACAGCTTATTATTACCTTTGTTTTAGACTGACTGTCCCCCTTTCTTTCTACTACTAAATTGCCCCTTCGGTTTGGAGGTTTTGTCAATTCTTGACAGGAGTTTAATGATGGATCCTCAAAAAACTATCCTGGGCAACTTTTCCGTTTCCCATCTTTGGGGGGGCCGTGTTTTTAGTGTAATATGTGAAAGGGATCATATAGATTAAAAAATATTAAAAACATCGGGGGACGCAATTATGTACACTATTGGCCCCTTTGGGCGCCCTTTTGATGTCGCTGCCGTGCTCACTGTGATTTCTCAAGTGTCGAGCCTGGATTGTCCAAGCCCAGCTGGCCTCGGTCTCTCATTGAAATCAACAAGATCTGTCCATTATTCTATCTGGCGTTTGCTCTGGCCATAGGGAACTCCAATTAACAATTACAGTATACTGGCATATCGCGCTTGAAATACTCTTCCACATGCAGCTCAAGTGCATTGCTTTCGCGTTGGGTTTCTTAGCAGCTGGTTTTTCTGGCCTGAGGCAGGTAGGCAAATCACAATGATCTCAGGAGGTACACGGTTCAAAACATCAATGGCAATTTCAATAGCATTGGTCGCATGGACATTCAATCTGACTGCAGGGAATTTCGCCATTCACTCAGACTTCGGCGGCTTCACCTCCTCTACTTTTTCCGGCCTGCGATCTGAAGCTGATTTTATGAGTAACAGGAGGTAGCAAATGTTTTTCCCAAATTCCTACCGGTCGGCTTTAGCAGCAAGTTGTTGTAAATCTGAGGACCCTTTCTTGGTCGAGTGGCTACTTTCAGGACTACAAACAACATGTCAAAAGATTCGAGCGCCTGAGGTTCGTGACTTTGTTTGCAGCCACTGAAGCCTGTCCAGCTTGTGTATATACAAACATTTCTCAGCAATCAAGCCTTTGTGCCAGAGGATTCTTCACAAGTCATTCGAAACCTGTGGTTGTGCTAAGTGCAAACTCATGGCCTTGCCATCCGACTGAAAGGCAGGCGTGCGCGGCCTTGGGCTCTGCCGGTCTGCGGCGTGGGCTGCCGCTACGAGCGACTCAAAGACCCTCAAAGATCCTTGTTTTGCTATTTGCACCCTTGCAATCTGCAAAAGGATCCAACGACTATTTGTAAAGGACATGATACCTACGAGTTCATGAACCTGAAAATATTGTGGGGGAGTTTTGGCCTCGCAAAGAGATTTTGCGAGACAAGTTCACCGAGCTGCACATCACCAATTCACCACTTGACACTTCACAAGGCACACCGGCAAAATTTTGCAAATGAATGCAGATCGTGTGTTTCAGATCAAATCCAGGTTGCTTGAGCGTCTCCCCGTTGCTTCCTTTCCAAGGATCTTGCCTCGTTCCCGCAAAAAAAAGCACATTTCGCATGGTTCCGACTCGGTTCCGAAGACACGCAACAAACTGGGTTTCCGAGCTCAAAGACAGGATCCGAAAGAAGAATACGCTCCTTTCAACAGGGAAAAAAATAACAACGCAGCACCTTCTTTTGCATCTTCCTCCCTCCCTGTCTGAGACCACTGTTCTGCCTCCTCCTCTTCCGGCGGTGTCGTTTGTCGGGGAAAGAGGTCGTCGAGAAGGTCAGTGACCTTTGACGGCGTCGCTTGCGGCTGGAAGTCTCAAAGAGACCATGCGGACCACAAAGGCCTCTTTGAAAAATTTCTGTAAAACGACCACATGTATTATCATATTTATATACAATATGATATGTATATATATATATACACATATGCATTATATATAGTAAAAAATAACAACAATAATAACGATAATAATGCAAATATGAAAAAACAAAAAGATCGCTCTGTGGTCTTTTTTGCGAGGCCCTGTGGCCTGTGGCTCTCGGTTAGGTGGCTCCTGCAGTATCGAAATCTTGAAACCGGAAAATGGAAGCTTTATCATCTCGGGTGCGGTATTAACACGGTCATCAAGAACAAGGCTTGTTGCTGTTTGCTGAAAGACTCAATGATACGAAAATGCTTCCAGCAGGTTGGTACAAAAGTATAAATGAATTACTATCAATTGGTTTTGGGAGGCTACACGCGTTATGTAATGGTGAGAGGTCTCTTGCGAAGAAGTTGGTCATCATTACCTTTCTTGAAGACTAGAAAGCTCTTCCCGCAATCAAAGTGGAATGATGCAAGGAGGTGGAATGTCTCTAGGCATAAGATCTGTACTTGACCACAAAACAGCGTTTGCAATCTGGGCTTCCCGGCGGCTGGCTGCTTCACCTACTCGCTTGAACAAGCAATGTGTCAAGTCAGCTTGGCCAAACATATTCACAGGCACACAGGAAGGTGGCCAACACCCAATCACCGTTGTTACAAAGACCAGGAGCCAATCTCCAGTTGAAATGACGCCATGTGTGCAAAGGTGACACAGCTGCTCCGGAACATGAGTGTAAACAGTGATGTGTTCTTGCAGCATTGTTTGGTTCATAGTGCGAGTGGTGTGCCTGTTGGCCGGCTCTAAGCCTCCGCATATATCGATATTCCATATTAGATGCTGACTTGCAAAAGTTATTCACATTCTCGGAGGATAGAAGAAACTTCCCCAATCAGCTCGTGACCAACATGATCAAACAATTGGCCAATGACCCGGGTGATCTACATGGGACGTGTCACATTAGCTGTGCTTCGTCTTTTTCCCCTGCCCTGGGCTCCCCTGCTGGTGCTGGATTTGGCTTTGGAGGCGTTAGAGGCTCACGCTGCAAATCCAAGCGGGTTGCTTTGAGTGATTCCACCTCCTGTTCCAAGGCTGCAATTCGTGCAGCCTGCTGCAAAACGCACGCCTGGCAAAGTGAGGAATGGAAAGCTCTAGTTCAGACTGGCTGCTAAGCCAAGGAAGACGAAGCAAAGAGGAATCTTGGTGCGCCTTCGCGCAGGCTGAGGCTGGTCAATTAGATATTGATTCACAAATGAGTTTAAACTGTCACTACTCCCATCTGTGTGCACGTGGAAGAGCACGAAGGCTCCCGCTCCAACGGTCTGGCCTCTTGCTTGCTGTATTTGTCAGAGAGCACAAGCAATTCATCCTTGACCTTAGCATGGACCCAACAGCAAAGACCCCCAAAAAAAAGCACAACCAGTTGATCTAGAGATCCCCACTTGGGATGGCCTGAGAATGGCACCCACCAAACAGCTTCCAGCAAATTTGTGATCAAATCAATTTGATCCACAGAGACTTGCTTGGACTTCTCCAGAAGTGGCCTTACAAGGAATCGGATGTCTTTGACGCTCGAAAAACAATGCACACATTCCAGGATTTCTGATTTTAGTCTATGAGAATTCCATGTGAATGCATCGTTCTGTACCAACCGTCCCAAGAACCCAGCGCAAGCTCTGGCAAGTCGTGCCGCCGAGATGGTGCACCGTTCTGCATCGCGGATCTGCCACCCGTGCCGTTCGTCCCTCACTAATAATGGCTCTGCCAACGGCAAAACTCCCAGGTCACTCTTTAAGTGCCATGTTGAAGTCCAGGTCCAACGACCTTCCTGCAACCCACCTACCCAAGAACACGGCTCCGGATTCCAAGAAGCCAGCCTGTCCAAGACCAGTCACTTCTCAAATTGGTGAGACAATTGACAGAAAGAAGCATAGCTTGACAGCTTGGTGGCTTGTTATGCTTGTGGTATCTGCTAGGCGGCAATAGGAGTAGCTGAGCATGCTGTAGTGGGCGGAGCGTTTCAATTTAGTAAATCTGCTGTGGGAACTGTAAAAGTTGGACATGTTTTGGACCTGATTCTGGCAAGCATTGTGGGGCCATGTGGCTGGGAGGTCCACGGTGGCAGGCGGACAACGACAAGGCAATTTGTTTCTCATGTCATGGTCCAGGTTGTCCCACATCCTAGGTGGCAGCTGAGAGCCGCAACATCGACAAACGGCCAGGATTGGAAGCAAGATGCAGAAAAAGAAACGGGCAATTAGTAGCAAGAAGCTACCAGTAACAAGGGCATCGCTACTAGTAACAAGGGCATTACTACCAGTAGCAAGAAGCTACTAGTAACAAGGGCATCGCCACTAGTAACAAGGGCATTACTACTAGTAGCGAGAAGCTACTAGCAACAAGGGCATCGCTACTAGTAGCTATTAGTAGCAAGAAGCCACTAAGCATGGGCAAGCTCTGGAGCCAGAATTTGGCAGCTGGTGGCGCACTCGCCATCAGCAGCCTTTTCTGCTTCTCCATCTGCGCTGGAGTCCTGCTTGCCAGTCGGCTGGCACCAAATCAGAGTGAAATGCTGCGCCGCACGAATCCCAGCCTCCTCTTCTGAGCTCCTCCTGGAGGTTCTTCTCGAGTTCCTCACTTTTAGTTTTCTGAGTCAACTGCTACGCGAGCGCCTTAAGCAGGATGAGTCAGGGCCTCTTTCGTTCGATCAGGACCCATGTCTCTTTCATCATCACGCATGGCCAAAGAAAGGCATGAAACGGTCGGATGAAACGCGGCCTCGGTGCCCTTGCTAGTAGCTTCTAGCTACTAGTAGTAGTGCCCTCGATACTAGTAGTAATGCCCTTGTTACTAGTAGCGATGCCCTTGTTACTAGTAGTTGGTACACGGCGGATAGACGGCCGTGGGTTTTTGTGACATTTTTCTGGATATGTTGTTTTCTACAGTACTACGTGTGGGAATTTGGGGTGGGGGGGGTGGGGTGGGGTGGGGCTAATTAGCACACCTGTGGCGTAGCAGCTTATCTATTTCAGTCTATTTTCTTGCAGACCACATTCGGACGAGGTTCCCCTGCTTCCACCCGGATTCTTCCACGCGAAACAATACTCGTACTAGTACCTTGACCCATGAAACCACCCTAAAGTAGGTAAATATAACATGCACGGAGTTTGGGACATGTTTTGACCTCTGATCTGAAACCGATGCAGTTTTGTTGCTCATATGGCGGAATTTTCCTTTGTTTCCGCTTTAGGTTTGGCTTTTCTTTTGTTGTTGAGGTTAGGGGGTTGGACAGGGGTGGATCAGCTCCCCGAATCCTTACAAGCTTGGTTTGAGGTAGACCCGTGGTATCTTGATAGTTTGTTGAAAACCTGGAGTGAAAGTTCCACCGCTGATCCGGTTCTTCTTGAAGTTTTGCAAATAGCTCTGCAGCAAGATCGGTGGCCCTTATGTTTTCAAGCACTTCATGACAATTACCTACTCTTGGCTACCGTTTGGCATAGTTACTACGAAGACATGTTGATGCGCAGGGCAGTTTCAGCAGGCATCACAGCCGCTCTCCTAATTTTTTCTCGTCGGTTCTTCACATACCTTGAGAATCTGGAACGTATTATTTTCTTCACAGCTAGCACTGCTGGCGTCGCCTCGCGATCGATGGCTGCTGCAGATTTGTCCGAGATTGCGCCCAACGCCGATCCTTGTCCTTGCGGAAACCCCCGGCTTCCAGTGAAAAGCCTCTTCCGCCTGCAGCAATCATTCTCTAACCTTCTTGTCAGGAGGGTCCACAGACTCCGACATCATCGGCCTCTGGCTCTTTGTCCCCGCCTATCGGCGACGAATCTCCACACCATCTCCGACAGAAGATTAGGCGCATGGAGCAGCAGAGTGTTGAATTTGCTGCTACGGCAGACGCAGAGTCGCCGTGACCCAGAGGAATTCATGAGGGCTTTACCTGTACATGAGTTAATATCAGAAACATGTCCAACAATATAGATATTGTTGGACACACTTTCCAGGTTTGCGCGAAGGGAAATACTTCTTGTATATTGGTCCGATTCGCACGGATTTTTTGTGGGAAGTGTTTGCGGAAAGACTGATGTTATATTTCACTGCCGATCATTGAGGTTGCCGGAAACACTGCCAGCTCCTGCATCATTGTTGACATGCCAGCAGCGAGGTCGGATCTTTCAAGTGAGGAATGACAAGAGTGATCGCGCGGACCCTTGGGCTGTGGAGCGTGTGTACGGAGGGTTCACACGGAATCCCAATCCTTGGCCGCTTCCCTTGCCTGATAGCACTCCTGCGAAGCCCATCTTCTACCCTGGGCAGCGTGGATTTAAGTTCGGTGGTTGTCCGGAACACAGCAATCGTTCCTTGATCCCCGAGGTTGTGAAGGATTCTCCACAGTGGAATGGAATGGTTCGACTTTTTTGCACAGCAGTGAAAGAAAAGACACCTTCGGGATTTCGAAAGTGTTTGCGCAGCTTTCCATATGAGACCAAGGATTTGCGCAGGTTGCCACTAGATGTGCAACATGAGTTTAAGGCTTTGCCTGCCAGTTTTGCCAGAGGATCTTCTGACACTTGAATGGAAGCTGTCAGATATGAAGGGTTCCGTGAACGGTCGACAGTGTTGGGGATCCTGACCGTTTGATCTGGGTAGATTGTCGGACCTGGATCAAAGATTAAGGAAGGCAAGAGACACATGCCTCAGCTGGGCAAAAAAAAAGGTGGTTTCACAGGAACATTGAGCAGAAAGCAGTCTCTTCTTCACATATATATATATATGGTGGTCGTATACATATATACATGTTCCCATATAGATATGTCTTGCGCCCGGCTCTCCTTATATGTCCTATATCTTCGGTTCCTGGTTGCTCTATCATACTCTGATATTTTTCGATGGAACAGACCACGGGCTTTTGGTCATCAACAGATTGACGTGTTCATGAACATGCCCTGCAAAGACGGTTCGCATTGCTGTCTGGAGGTCTCAAACCATTTCCGTTTCCAATGTAGTTTTGGACCTTCGGGTGACACATGAAAAAACCAGCAGCCAGAGCTGCGCGTGGACGAGTCCACAAATGTAGTGTGTGCAAAAAGGAGGGGCACAGGATAGAGCAGTGCACGCGCCCAGCTGCCAAAGAGATTCGGCGGCTGCGCAAGGAGAACGCTGATTTCAGAGGGAAATCAAAGAGAAAAGTGCTGCGACAGGAATCCAAGTGGCGCAAGTCTCCCAAGATAGATGGGCCATGGAAAGAAGAAGCTACTTGTTTGTACAAAGGAAAGCCGGCCGCAAGAATTCCGACCCAGACAGAGGTGCGTCGCACCAGGTACGCTGCTCAACAGATTGCCGTGTCTCTTCCAAGCACTGACCCGGACGCAGTTTCCTGGCTGCTGAAACACGGATGGATCAAGGCACCGTTGAAGTGCGAGGAATGCAACGTGAAGCGTTTCAGTGATGTACTCTGGGACACGGACAGACCTCCCCACTGGAGATGCAAGCACTGCGGTGTTCGCGTGAAAATTTTCGACTTGAGCATCTTTGCTGGGTTGCGTGCGTCGCCGCTTGAACTTACCGCTCTCCTTGGACACTATGTCTCCAGCAATCTGACGCGCTGTCCAAGCGTTCCAGACATGGTACGGGCCCGGCTCTCTAAATGCACTGATTCAAATCATGCTCATATTCACGTCTCCCCTTGCGTGTTACAATGAAACATGCTGATGTGTTCCCCACGTTCATGTGGCGACTTCCTTCTTCCAGGCAACCGGGCGTGGACGCACTTGCTGTGAACACTTCTTGTCCTGTCTTCGCACACTCGAAAGTAGCGCGGGACAGCGCTTCAGCCAGACTTGCCCTTTGCGGGGAGCAGTGGAGGTGGACGCGACCTTCATTGGAAAGTTTCATCTGGCAGCAGACAACATGTGGCACCTGGATCAGATTCAGAAGATTGAACAAGGATTCATCCGCAGAGGAGAAGATTTGCCGAAGTCCTATGTGGGCCACATTATGGTTCTGGGAGCACAGCCACGTACTGGCTCTGCAGCTGTTTGGGTAGCTCGACCTCATGCTCCTCGGCTTCGATAGTTTTCCGCGTTGACATGAATTCTTTGAACACTGCTACCACGCCTGCTCATGAGGTCACTCCAGTGGGCCATCGTCCTGTCACTGAGACACTAGCTCAAGTTGAAGCGTGCGGTTTTTTAGACCGTGTTTCTGGCCGCAGTGTCATCTGCCCAGATGGCAACAAGGCTTGGCAATCCGCGGCAGAAGCTCGTGGGTTGCCGCTGCAGTCAGTTGTCCACCAAGTGAAAATTTTCACTTCACATGGTCCGACTGTTTACAAGGAAGCTTCGAATGTCGCAGGCACGCAGATGCTCGATAGAAGCTGGCGGATTTTAAAGGAGTTTTTGCCGGCCAACCTGGTTGTGAAATGTAAAGAAAGAAATCACACGCAAATGCATCCCAGCGTGCCGCAGTACGTGTACATGTGGGCTTGGCGACAAAGCTTGAACTGTGCGAAACCCGCTCAGTTCTTGCGCTGCTTGGAGGAGCTCCTTTGAAGAGTGAAAAGAAACGATTCCGTGCTTGATGCAGGAGGATGAAGATGTTAACACGTGGCACAAGAGGGATTGGTGTGCATTTGGCATCGCTACTAGCAGCAAGGACGCTATTAGGAGCCCGTGGCCTTACTGCTAGGAACCAGAAGCTGCTAGTAACAAGGGCATCGCTACTAGATTCGAAGTTTATAAATATATGACGGCCAAATTAGTTGCGTAGTTTCGAAAATCCTTCGAAATCGTCATTTCGCCTCAACGAAACTATCATTTTATCGAAACCTGCATGGAATTCACAATGATTCCAATGATGAAGTGTCGCTCACACCATTCCCAATGGAATTACGCACTTAAGATGGACTACCCCACGAACATCCTTCATCACACCACGGCCGTCTATCCGCCGTGTACCTAGTAGTTTCTAGCTGCTAGTCCTTGTTACTAGTAGTGAATTGCCTCTTCCTCCTGATGAGACTGTGAGCTGTTCGGGTCGTTTGCCCTTGCGCCAAGCATCACTTCAGAGCCTGGCTTTGAGCCCTCTGCTTCACGAGGCTGTACAATGGTGATGGCCGGGGTCACGGGCGAGAGCTCATCCTGGTTTGTCACAGACTGGAGGTTTCACAGCAATTGATGGAACGTGAGTAACATGGGTTCAAGAAAGCTTGGACTTTCTCCGGATTTTCTTCTAAAGTGTCTTACTACAGTAGTAACAAGAAGCTAGTAGAAACAAGTGCATCGCTACTAGTAACAAGTGCCTTACTAGTAGAAACAAGAAGCTATTAGAAACAATAAAGTGTTCACTCCTCACCGAATTCGTCTTCACCATCCTTGCAAGTGAGATCGCGAGGCTTCCCAGCGTACAAAGCAACTGATCACTATTGGCATGTGCATGAAGCCGTTTGGGAGCGTTGATGGTCTTCCATGGCTTCTAGGACATGTTGGAGCAGACAAGAAGGCCGAAGGCTCTTGTCCTTTTCAATGTTTGCAAAAAAAGAACAACTGATACTGTAATACATAAGACTGTGTATATATTTGTTCTTTTTCCTGTTTTTCTCTTGCCAAAAGGTGTGCTAACTAACCGGCACTAACTCAAAGTTCTATGAAAGAATCTGTCACACCCGTAGGCGCCCCTAAAAGGCCAGCATCACTCAGTACAGCTTGCGCAGCAAGCAGACAATAAGATTTGATATATATACTTATATATACAGTGTATAAATATAATTATGCCTATGTACATTATAGATGTTCATATAGTATAATGTACGTCATTTGCAATTGGCAACGACAAGCTGTGGTTCTGCCAATTTGCATTCTCTATAAATTTGAAGCAGTTGCGATAATCTACTGCAATATTGAGACTGCCCGATGAACCAGTCCAGTGAGTTCTCTCCAAATGTCTCACACAAGAATGATTTACAACAACTTCGGCTGTACAAGATCCTGAGGTGATATACCTGTAGGAAGTACCACCGGTCCCGCAAATTCAAGATGTTGTTTCTTCATGTTTCTCCCTCACGCAGCAAACTCAGTTTGAGATTTGCTATCAACTGATCAAATAGAGCCTGGTTTGGCAAGCTCAAGCGACGCGTCTTGGTGCATGTCATGTTTGATGCAGAACCACAAAATCCACGGTGAGGCCAGGTCTTGTGCGACCTTCTCTGTGCGGCCACGGGTCTGATCCCTCAGCCGAAGACTTCCTCTCAACCTGGCCAAATTGGAGGCCATCGCTCTTAGGTTGGAGGCCATTGCTATTCGGTTGGAGGCCATCACAGGTCGAGCCCGTTGGCCACGCTATGCCACGTTTCATCACAGTGTCCGTCAGGGTGGAACGCAGATCTTGTGGTTTCAAAAAGAGGACCTGAAATCGAACCTTCAGGTGGTGCGCACCATTTCCTCAACACCACCCAAGGGCCCAAGGGCCTGTGGCTCTCTTTGTGAAGCTTCAGGATCCACAACATCAGAAACCTTGGAGTTTCAAATGCCTGGAAACCTAGTGGTAGTGGTGCTGAGATGGTTTGTCTTGGGCTGGACGTTCGTGGTGTACAAAAGGAAGATTAAGGGACGTCAAGGAGAAAGAAGTGACTATGTCTCAAAGATAATTCAAAGTGGAGCACGCACGAGAGTACCATTGCAAACACACTGGTGAAGGGAGATATAGTGAACAATAGGCTAATAGTTACTTGTGGTCCCTGATTCTTCATCATTTCTTGAGCCACCTCCAGTTGGCTCAAACTAAGTCAATCGCAGTAAGCTGCTGGAAAGCTCCTTGGTCTTGTGAGGACTCTTGCGCCCTGCTTCCAGAGCCGCCCTGCCAGGCGAGAGTTGAGCATAACTTTATGTTGCCAAGTAAGTCTCCTGCAGTCTGTCTCAAACTCAAGTTTCCTGAAAATCTAGAAACCAAATGAATAGTGCGAGCGCTGCTTCAAGGAAGCTCCTTTCCTTGAAGAAGCGTGAGATCCTGCGTCCGTATGTAGTAGCTTGCTTGTGGGTACTAGCTACCTAGCTTCTCCTAGCTACCACTACCTCACTTAGCTAACCTACCTCACCTCTACACGGCCTGCCCCCCTCAAAAAAAAGGTCTACTGCTTGTCTCAAACATTCTTCTGGCAAATCACAGTTGCGGTGGGTGTCCCTCCCTTTTCCCGGACGGTCGAAATCAATCGTCGTACCCACCTGCCTCACTGGCCACCTGGCTCGGACCAAAGTCAACCCTCGGACTTTTGGCTCAGCTCGGACTGAAAATTTGGTTCTCTCGTCGATTAAAAGCATAGCATTTGGGGCCCTTTCAATAGGGCTCCCCTTATAGAGAGGGGACCTTACTAAAGGATCCCAAAGACCATGACCATCCTTTTGCAATCTTTCTCCCCTCTCAAAAAGACTTCTGAACCAATAAAATCACAAACAAGATGGAACCCACGAACCCGAATGAGTCACACGTTTAACCCAGCACGATGTCATCGCAAACATAAGCTTTTTGTGACACATGTGGTCGCTGCGAGCGCATCATCAGCGACGTGGTAGGGGTAACGGCAGCTGCCAACGCCAGCGCGTCTGAAAGGAGTAGAATAGAAAACGGCAGCCGCTTGAGGTGACGGAGGCAGCGCCGTACCTGATCCAGAGCGTCAAATGGATATAATGCGAGGTATGTACACGTCAACGTGAGCAGACCACGAGTTGAGTCCCAAGCATGACATGGAATCCTTTCGAGTGTAATATTATGGTCGGTTCATGTTCTTAGTAGTCAAGCACTGGTTTTCTGTTTCATGCATCTCTCTTCGTACAACCAAGCTGGAAGATCGACCAGGATACTGTCTCCGGATGAGCTGGAGCAGACCCGGGGACTGAGCCACACAGGTAGATAGGCAGGAAACGGCAGCCGCCAGAGGTGACTGACGCAGCGCAGTGCCTGACGCAGAGAACCAAATGCAGGGAATGTCATGTATGTACACGTCAACAGGAGCAGACCACGAGTCGATTCCCAAGCATGACATGAAACCCTGTCGAGTGTAATGCAATGGTAGGTTCGTGGTTTTAGTAGTCAAGCACAGGTTGTCTGCTTCATGCACATCTCTTTTTAGAACCAAGCTGGAAGATCCAGGAGGAGACTGTCTGTGGATGAGCTGGAGCAGACCCGGGGACTGAGCCACAGAGGTCGACAGCAAGAAACATGAACTGGAGTAAACCCCGAGACTGAGCCACAGAGGTTGACACCAAAGAACACAGCTCAGAAAAATCACGACACAAGGTCGTCCAAGTCATCCCTCCCAGCCAGCACACTCTTTCCCCTACGTCCGTGGCCTTTGCCGCGCGGGGCCTCTCAGCCCCAGCGCGCGCAGCTTTCGTCGAGAGCTACGGCGCAACCTTGGCACATGGACAGCGAACTGTCAGATGACCGACAACCATGTCCAAACCAAAGAGAGCAAGAACATTGCAATCATAGCTGTAGCGGTCATAATGAGATCAGGAACAGAAAGAAATTGTATCTATGTCCGGCATCCAATGTCCGCACACGGGGCCACCGCTCCGATGGTTCTTCCCCATGCCATGACCTGTCAGCCAATCACAGTCAGCAAAGAATCGACGGATAGAATCGAGACTCTCTGCACGCGGATAACTTTGACAGGCAAAAGGTTTATCCCCCGACCCAACACGAAAATCGCAGCAAAGACACATGGACTAGTAACGGCAAGCCAATCACGCTGCATATCGACGACAACATTTCATTTCAAATCACGCAAGCTACAGCACCCGCAAAGCACAGTCAGTGGCGCTTGACCTGACAGAAGCAAAGGAGATGCAAGGACCGATATAGATCTGAACTCTGGAGAATTATATCCACCCAACACAACCGTCGCCCCGCCTGGTCCACACATCCAAGTCCAGCGGTGCGCGTGCATACAAAGCAAATCCTTCCCCAACCCCACCACCTGCGAGGACTGAGCCATCGCCATGTCAGACTCGTAACACATCATCAACTTTGCAGCTTGCGCAAAGCATCGGCTAATGAAGTCGGAAGTTCTGCCGGTAGGCATGCGCTTTGAAACCCACTGTCTACATCCAGGACCAAGACTTGAAAATGCTGATGCGAAACGTTGTACAAGCATACATAAGCTGCAGGGTCTTCCACTGCTGCTGCGTAAGAATGTAAGCAGTTCGCTGGGAGATCTTCACCTGTCACTGGGGCGCTCACCGGTTCATTCCCCACGATACAGAAACATATTTTCAATTCTTTCGCTAAAACATCCACATCCCAGTGCGTGGCCCAATGCTTGTTACCAGCTTCACTGACATGGCGAGCAATCACACTCTGTAAGCTCTGCAAAACATCACTGCCATTCATGATGCTGTGGCGCACCACACCAACCTCTTCTCCATGCTTGCATTGCAAAACTAAATGGCCTCTGGAATCTTCAGTGATAGTGGTTACTTCGTTCACAGTTTGCATAAAAGCGAAACACGTTCCAGCAATGACCTGCGACATCTTCCACTGGTCCAACCACGTACCAGCAAGTTCATCCATCAGGCAAGTGGTCAGAAAGTCCACGAAGCGCCGTGGCGACCACTGCAGAACGGCGCGGCCTATGATGTCCCGCAGTCGTTGAGCCAGGACTCGGCGCGAGGGTCTGTCCGCTAGCAGTGCTTGCAAGGTCGGTGGAAACGTCACGCACTGCTCGCGCCACAGCTGCAGACATACGGCCACCGACAAGAAAAAGCAATCGCCTCCTCCACCGGCATCTGCAGCGAAAGCCCGTAGGCGATGCTGTCGCAGTAAATACTGCTGAGCGACTTGTGAGAGAAAGTGCAACCGTAAATTGTGCGTCTCGCAAAACTGCTCACGATCCGGATGTGGTCTTCCCGGCCAGGGCCGTTTCGTGCTCCCCGAAGAAGTGGTCGCAGACCTAGCCGTCGCCCGCGACCAAGCATCCAGTTCGTACACAAAGGAGCCATCCGTGTCTTGGCACAAAGGCCGCGGTAAGAGATCCGCGCGGGGAAAACCAGGTAAATGTTCCAACGCAGTTGCCACGGCCAGCGACGAGGACTGAGCCATCTCCTGCACGAGCAACCATGTCATGACATTCACACTGGTGTCACAACACATACTTACAACGGTGATGTTTTCTCCCGCCGATCACGCCTCCAAACGAGCCAGGAACTGTGCAATATAAGCCGGTGGTCCGTGTTCGAAGACACTGAAGTCGATGTCTTGACCGTCTTCTTGCATTGGTAAATTGCGAAACAAGCAATGCTCCAAGCAGGTGGACCTACCGGTAATCATATAAACATGCTGTACGTATTCCTCCGGAGTGAAATAGTCTGGTTTCTTGAAGTCCACAGTATGCCCCACGTTCCGCACAGTCTTTCCCTGTTGATTATTGTAGGTGCCTGCAGTCCACGGCGCCAGGGGATATTGCACTCGAGTAACATCCAGGTAAACTTCTCCGCGGCGACGAACGCGCAGCTTGAATTCGTCTTCAGACGGATCCAAATGCCAGACACCAAAATGTCCTTGTCCAGTGTAGTCGTCGCCACGGTCCTCACAAGGGAACATTAGCGTGTATGGATCAGAGTACGGCGCGCAGCTAACATACCAGATACTATATATTTTTGATGGTGCTGTACTATTTATCCAACGGTTCCTGCAATGTGATCACAATCGAAGCCTTCAAACAACCCCGGCCTCGACGCGAATACTCACAGAAGAAGGTAAATAGTCTAATCTGCAGACGCCTTCGCTCCAACAGGGGTGGCCAGCCGGTGGTTGGGGTAAACCCGGTGGACATTCGGGAATGCCATATCTTTCCTGCGGATGTACTCCAATGGCAATGACTTCCGCAGGACATTCTTGCACCAGTTCAGGGGCCATCAGTTTCTTCGTGATTTTGACACGCAGGCCCACATGCAGAGGACAAAATGACATCAAACTGCAAGTTTTGGAGGCCATATTGGTAATTGCCAAGCACTCGTGCAAGATGCTTTTGTCAGCAAAAAAACTCCTTCTGATGAACCAAATCCACGGCTTGCGCGTAATAGATGACCTGTCCTGGCTGAAACATGCAGGACGTCAGGGACTGAGCCACCGACTGCAAGCCTTGCCAAAACTTAGCATTGATGGAGCGTCCCAACGCCGGAGGAAAATGTCGATGAATCCGCACGGCCTTGCCAGCCGCAGTGTTTCGCCATGCGCTGACTCCAAAACTGCTTTTGGCGGACTCATAGACAGTGATTTGTTGCAAGCGTGCCACCTGATCCCAGTTGATTGCCGAAAACATGCCATTGGCAAAGAAGCCCCTAGGACCCACTTGACGTCCATCTGCGTCTCGCATCACGAAATCACTGTCCAGACGAGGATCCCCAGCCAAAGGTCGAAAGACTTGCTTACGAATGGCGTCTTTCAACTCTTCCCGCAAAGGATTGTGACCCTCCTTACGCATGTTGCTGAGGATTCCCCCGAAACAGAATTGTTTGCGGCAAAAATTGACCAAAGATCTGCAAGCCCAACCGGTCGATGTCCTGCTTGCGTTGCCGTTTGGCTTGCGGGAAAGCGACCGTGTTGCTGCGCATGCCTCTCTGCTTCTCTTCTTTTCGCTGCGGCTTGTGTGGTTCAGCAATAATCTTCTGCACCGCGGCGCGACCCAGCGACAGGAGGAGGAAGGTCATGGGTGACAGCTTCTTACCCTTGCAGCGGAACACGGCCGGCTCCCTGCCGATCCACAGCGAGTTGGCCAGTGCATACTTGGGCATGACCGGTACTTTCCGTGTCAGACTCTTGGCACAGGCTTCGCACACGTCAACAACAGTGTCGGGACTGAGCCTCGACGGTAACATCTTCGTGTTGAGCAACCATCTCCAAGGCTTCCCTTCTTCATCTTTTCCCGATGGGTGTTCTGCACTGCTTGCCAAAAGCTCTTCAATGGGAATCAGCGGCCACAGCTTCGCATACCTGTAGACGTTGAAGATGTGTGTGTGTGTGTGCAATCTGCGAACAACTCCAGCATCCACATGCAAGATGTCAGACTCATCTTCCGAAGTCTCCGCTGCGGGAACCTCGGCCGGTTCCTCTGCTTCTGCGCCTGCCCCAGTCTCAAAATCGGGCACTTCCGCCTCGTGCGCTGCCCCCCGTTGCAATTCTTCCACAAATAATTTTAACGGTCGCAGATCTTCTTTCCAACGGCCTCGAGCACATACACAACATGAAGAAAAACATCGTGGTTCTGCCGCTTTGCCCGAGCTGCTGTGAATCTGATGAAAAGCGTGGCGTGCAACACCTCGTTGTAATTGTTCCCCATGCACAGCGAAAGGACCTGTACCATTTCTGGCCCATCGATCCGAAACAAAAAGAAACAAAGCGGTCACGACAAGATTCAACACATCCATCATTTGTTTCGTCTATCTTATAAATTCTACCCAGCCTTCGGCTTGCTCATAGTAGACCATCCGCTTGCGGTACTCTTCCACGACGCGCTGTGGTGTCCACGACGCAGCTGGTACAACATTCTCGCCCACATGATGCTCTTCCACATGCTTCCGAAACTCTTTGCGAGTGTTCATCTCAAAACCGCACAGCTCGCAAGCCAACATATAACGTGCTTGTGGTTCTCGCGAAATTTGCCATCGTGTGTCGCGGTCGGTCAATGCATCTTGTGGGATATACGGCTCTTTCTCCATTCGGCGTTGCCATAAAGCACTTCCAAAAGAACTCTCCCACTTTTCCTGCTCCGCTGGACGCATGCCTCTTCTGCCTGGCAAAATGGTTTTGCTTCGCACTCTCCTCACCTTCTGCGCCAATGCATCAGAGCTGCTTTGTGGTCCTCGTGTCGGTAGGACGCCATCAGTGCGCCACATTTCCATGACTTCGTCGTATATACAAGCATGATGCGGCCACCAGATAAAACAGGTGAGATGGGGTAGTGTTTCCCAAGCAAACATCTGTTCTTCGCGCAGTGGTAATGCGAAGTCTATGATGGTGCCCTGTCGCTTCTGTACCACCGGACCAAACCGTCGAGCTCTGACCTTGGCAATTCCACTCAGCAATGCTTTGTCCAGTGGGTCTCCGCCATCTTTGTCAGGAAATCGACCTTTCTCATCACAAAATGTTCGCACAGAGTCACGAAACTGTCTCGTATCATCGAAAGTCAGCAAGGGCCACTCTTCCAACTGCTGGTATGCGCCCACTTGTTCTTCACTGCTCACGGCGGTCATACCAAACTTGCCGGCTGGTTCCAAACCTCGCGTCACAGCTAGAATGACATCCATCAAAAATACACGACGATGGGCCAAAATATCTGGGCTGTATCTCTGCAAGGACTCTTCCGACAGATCAGCCAGCATATGCAAACCATCAAAGATCGTCTTGTCTTTCAGAAAATTGAGCACACCTGCTCGCAAAGCAGCATCCAACTGAGCCGTCGATACGCCAGAGCCGCTGAGAGGTAACAAGCCCAACAACCCCGCCTTCTGCAATTTCGTGTATAAAGATGATGTCCGTGCCGGACGTCGTCCGTCATTTGCCGCC